CGAATACTTTTTTATTAAACGCGTAGAAGTGACAGATCTGAAGAGGAGCGAAATTCATAGAGAACCCCGAGTAAGATCTCTCCAAAGGATGTACTACCAAAACTTACAATGGAGTATGTTGGACATGTGGTAGAAGACCTTGCCCTAAATCTCTATGCTGATTTGAAGTAACTGCATGAACCAGGAGTTCAGAATCTTACTAAACTTCACTTGTCTTTAGACACCCTAACTGTTTCCAACTGTTCCGCTACTAAAGCCAGAAAACGGCATTGGGTCGTCAACTATGTGTGTGGTCGTTAGTCGTACGTGGTATGTAGAAATAAGAAGCCCAGTATCCCTAGAGTAAAGGGAGTTCACAAGTAAAAGGAGTTCACCTGGGACCTCATTTTTCGTGGTGTTCACGTTCTCATCACAATCCGCATGATGATGGAAATTTAGTATGAAATTGGAAGCCAGCTACAGAATATTCCTCGTCAGCTATTTTGTAAAATAATAGAATATTTATAAATTAGTCATACAAGTATATGTTATTATTCTAGATTTTACAATTTCTAAACTCATGCTAAAATCAACATTACATAATCTAATTCGTGCGGTGAAAATCGGTGTATAATAATTGATAGTATCTACTACACTAAAAGGAAAATAAGTTGCCATTTAATATTTTAATATCATCATTGAGTTCAACATAATACTCTGCTTTACAATCTGATCAATTCTAACCTGCTAGTAGAACAAGGCAATACAAAATCTCTCAAAGCAAAAAACAGGAATTGTTTTTGCACAGATTCTATTTTTCTAACAAAATACGTAAAAAATATTTTGTTATATACGGATCAGAAAATTTTTTGGCCCATCGTATTAAAAAATCTAAACGTCCAATTGTTTATTTACCAAAATACCAAGATTGACAAATAATTCTAGAGTTGATAAGAAATCCCACGGCAGCGGATTCTACGACACCGGATTGACACGAAATATCAACACTCCAGTTCGGCCAGCGATGTAATGGATGTGAAGGATGGGTGCATTTTAAGAGTTGTTTCGGTTTAACCCGGTTCCGAGACTATAGCGATAGGGACTATGTTGCATCGTGCTGTACAAACGTAGTTCCCATTGAGTCCACGACCTCGTTGTCAACTTCTGAGTCATCGTCGGAGTACAGAACTTCCCCGCAGTCTCCAGAACAGCAAACTTTATCGCAGCACCTAACATCACATGTTGCTATTGAAATTCCGGACAGTGCATCATTCTTGTAATTCATTTGCAACGGAATCCGAGGTAAAATTGATGAGATAGTGGATTTTATGAATCGGAGGAATATCTTGATAGCATCGGTGAATGAAACAAAGCTCAATGAAAATTGTAGCTTACAACGTTGAAATGGTTGCAACGTATTGAAGAAAGATCCCAAGAGAAGTGAAGGTGGGGCATTAGCATTCCTGTTACACCATTCTATTCAATACAGATCTATCTCGCTTGAGCTAGTCTCTAGTGACCCATATATGGAATGTATGGGGCAGCAGTCAAGTGTGGAACTGTATAATGTGTATATCCCGCCTGTTAATAGCTGCCAACCGCGTTACTTGCTTAATATTTTACCTTCTTTCTCTATTTACCTTCTTCAAAAAATGTAAATCGCAAAATTTTTCGATTTGAAACCGTTTTTGGTTTTGCAAGTGAAATTGTATTTTTGTGGCAACTGTGACATTAAAACACTCTCAAATGATTTTAAGTAATAAAAATGTTGTCTTAATGACAAATTGTAATAGTTTCTCAATTAACGAAGGCAATTGTTAACGAAGTGTTGCCACGTCACTTTTTTTCGCCACAACAAAAATTATTCATCTGTGAAAACCAAACAATGTGGTATTACGAATAATAAACTGAAGCATAAAGAAAAAAGAAACTCAAAAAAAAAAAAATAATAAATAATTTTGTACAAAAATTTTGCCACGTTACTTTTTTCTTGAAAATAACTTTTTTGTCAAACAAAAATTATTCATCTGTGAAAACTAAACAATATGGTATTAAGAATAATAAACTGAAGCATAAAGAAAAAAGAAACTAAAAAAATAATTTTGTACAAAAATTGTGGAATGCTGTTTAATTAGTCAATAATTAATATTTTAGGGGCGGGCACAGGAAAAACACATGGTCAGACTGGACAGTATACATTAAAAAGATTATATATATTGTTGTCATATTTACACTGAAATCGTAATTCACCAAATCGTACAAAATCTTAAGAAGCTAACACAAAAATGAACGACTTTGAATTACGAAATTCTAACTATTTCGATACGTGACATTCCTGGTAAACCCTATTTTGGAAGGCAATAACCTTCTGAGTTGTGGCATTCCATCCTAGGTAATGACCAGAGGAGATCAGCGTTGGCAGAACAGATTGACTGCTCCACATTTTACAGAAGAGTGTCATAGTTCGCCAGATTTAACCATTGTGTCACCCTGTCTGATAAATGACGTGACTTGGAAACCCGTCATTTCTCTTGGATACCCGAGATAAGACCAAACTTCCCAGCAGAGGCAGCGGGATTAGCAAACGAGCGTGATGATCTCCGTCGTACCAACCCTACTGATCCTAGAATCAGTGATTTGACAGAGGAAGTCAACCGGTTGGTACAGGAGCATAAGAGGCAAAAGTGGCTAGACCATCTGAAGTGCTGTAACATTGGAACTGATATGAGTAAGCTGTGGGTATCGGTTAAGTCGCTCTCGAACCCTGGAAAAAAGGATGATAGTACCTCAGTCACTTTTAACGACGTAACGGTGACTGATCCGAAGAGGTGCGCGGAATATTTTAACCGAAAATTTGTCGAGCACCCCGAGAGCGATAGGGCGAGGAGAAGAGTACTACGTCGTTTCAGATCTCTTTTTCCGCCTAGGAGGAACCACCACAGTTTACGATGGGTGATGTTACAAATGTTATCCGTAACGCTAAGTCATCCAAAGCGTTGGGCCCGGACGGAATCTCAATGGTAATGTTGAAGCAGCTGGATACGCCGGGAGTCGAGTACTTAACGAAAGTTCTCAATTTGTCGCTAGCCACCCACATAGTGCCCGAAACCTGGAAAATGGGCCGGGTGGTCCCGCTACTGAAGCCAGGCAAGGATGCCAGTAAAGGCGAATCGTACAGGCCGATTTCGCTTTTGTCGCCAGTAGCTAAGACTCTTGAGGCTTTACTCCTCCCCAGCATTAGAGGGAGCTATCCAGTTGCCAACCATCAGCACGGATTCCGTCCACAACATAGTAACACAACAGCATTACACGCCATTTCCACAGATATTAGTAGAGGATTGAACCAGAACAAGCCGTGTGACAGAACACTGTTGGTAGCCCTTGACCTATGAAAGGCATTTGATATGCTCGATCATGCCATACTGTTTGAGGACGTGCAGATAACCACCCTCCGGCCAAGTTTGAAACGTTAGATAATCAACTATATGTGTGGACGCCAGGCGTACGTGGAATTCCGGAACAAGAAGTCCAAAGCCCGTAGAGTGAAACAGGGAGTTCACCAAGGTGGGGTGATATCTCCGGAACTGTTTAACCTCTACCTTTCCGGCATTCCTCGCCCTCCAGAGGGCATAGAGATCGTGACGTATGCGGATGATTGTACGACCATGGTGTTGAACAATGCCTGTCAAATTTGGATGAAAATGTATTTCAACGACAATTTGCAAAAAAATCCAATATACCACTAAACACAAGCTATTGTAGGCGGCTGAGGTTGGTAATTTATTTTTTAGTGAAACAAGTATGGCTGGTTTCATGTATTTAAATTTGATGAGAGGCAATTTTGAGCGATCCGTTAGAAAATTGGGCATTTCCGAAAGCTGGAGTGGCTTTTACACGATGTTGCAAAACACCTGCATTCATGGTTTATTTATTTTTCATACGTAAATACCATCGACATATTGTCATACGTAAATATTTCAGCTATGAAAATAAATTTTGTTTGTAACAACCATGGTAGAATTAAGAAGGTAGGGTCATGGAATCATATGTTTGCAATTATTCAAAATTATTCATTTGACAACATCTCATTGTCAAAATATATGTTTCTAAATCCATTGTACATACAGAGATGCGGAAGGGGGTGATAAGGTAAATTACAGAAAATGCAGAGATGGATATGCTTATTTGAAATGACATTACCTTTTGAACTTTACCATGGTAATAACGTTACCTAAAATTCGACGTAGCGTATATAAATATTCAACTTCCCCATCCTGGAAAAATATTTTGTACGTCTATTAGTAAATTAGTATGTTTTTCAACTATAATCATCTTATTTTGCATTACGAATTAGCTAAACCTAATATGACGCAGTCTACCTACTTGACTTCGAAAATATGAAATTGAAAAATATATATAAAATATGTACCTAATAAAACTTTAACATTCCTAATTGTAGTTTCTGAGGAATAATAAAACAGATAATTGTCGTTTTCAGAAGCTCGCTACTCCGGCACCTTTTAATATTTTGAGTTAATTTTTTGGTTTGCTAACGTTCAATATGTTTACTATCGAATCTCATATTGAAATTAAAAATTGGTGATGGGGCTTTGGCCAGGAAAATGTATTTCTGAAACATTGTGCGTCGCGTCGTTGAAACACACACACACACTCAAATTAAATATATGTACATAAGTACTAACCTCGTTGATGAGATGGTTTGCTGTGGTAAGCATAATCGCTTCGCTCTCTGAACACCCTGGTTCATTTCCCAAAATTACAGTCGCAGAAGCGTTTTCCGTGAATATTAAGCAATAACATATACTATTTCACACGCTGCACTTGCTTATTAGTCTGCATAAAAATTATATCCAGTAATCTAACTCCACATACCACATGCAACAATTGATAATTGTATATTATTTATTCTTAACTCGATAGTCTGTTCACATTTTCTTATCTTAGTCAATGCGGGTTTCATTGAGACGTTTAAATGCGGACTCTTCAAATTGCAGGTTCTTCGTTTGGGCACGCAACATTATGAGTTGTTCCATATTTCACTGGAATGCTATGGCAAGGTGCCTATGATGATCCATACATCAGGTAAATCCAAGGGAATGCCATGAGGTGAGCCAATGTGTGAAGTGTCACTGTAAACAAAGTAAAAGAAATGGTAACAAATGAAAATCGAAAAAAGTAGACTATTTGTTTTGCCGTATAACACAACCAACCATCGGTCTCCAAATCCAATTCCGCTTCAAAGGTGTCACTGCGTCCATAACGATTGACGGCACCACTATTGGCCTAAATGTAGATATCATCCACCTCCACTTTTTCTGTCAGTTCGGTAAATTTACCAATTTGCCCGTACCTGATAGTACGTCCAGCTGTGAGACAAGACCAGCATTTTCTTGTGTTTCGTTAAATTCACAACTATAGCAGCAGCTTCTCGGACAGCATTTTGTCACCTTCGCCATGTATGCCCAAACCTTTAATATGGCTATGATCAGAAATGCGTTGGGTGCGAACGCTACTTTTAATTTCTTCGATTTTCATGAGTTGACAGTTGACATTTTTGACCCGAAAATCTGGGTTCAAGACCCGGCCTGGACACGGCCCCTATTACCCGATATAGACAATATAGGTATTTTATGAAAATACCTACCCAACCAGTGGTCACGATTCGGAAATTATAGTCAAATTATCGATTTTTTGGACCCGGATTTTTTATAAAACCCCCAAAAAGTCCAAAAAGGGCCCATTATGGGGGTCAACAAAATTGATGCCAAATTATAGCTGGCACTCTTACCTTTCCAAAATGCTACAATTTGTGTTAATACCTTTTTCGGGTCCAGAGATATGGGTCTTTCCATCCGCATAACCCGATTCTAACCAGTTTATTAAAATTATGTTTTCAGTAAAAAAGATTCATTTCGCGTAGCCGTCGTTGGAATTACAAAAGCACCACATTTAGAAAACTTTGGTTGGCGTTAGCCTGTGTTGGACATAATCAGAGGAGAAAATCCAATCAGCTGAGCTGGAAGGGGGACCTTATACTTGAATCATGGCTACAATGTTGTCAACTTGATGGTTTTGTAAAAATATAGTACGGTTGCAATTTCTAGTTGCTGATGCTGCGTGTGGTAATGTATGGTAATAACGAAGAATATGAGTAACATTTTAACAAATTGTAAATATATAATATTTGATAGTGACATTCCATTCTTTATGATGAAAGGAGGACATATTATTTAATAAATTGCGCTGTTCATTTATTGTTGCAAAAACCTAATTTTTATTCGAAAATAATGAATGTACACTACATATGATTTCCAAAATTTTTATATTAAAAATTACGTTAACAGCGTTACCCAAAAGTCAACATCCTGTGTCGACGTTATTCACCGCACAATTTAATCATATGTATTTATATAATTTTTACCGAAATACATCTAGCGTACGTAATTTCAAAGCAGAAGATCCCAAGAGAAGTGAAGGTGGGGCATTAGCATTCCTGTTACACCATTCTATTCAATACAGATCTATCTCGCTTGAGCTAGTCTCTAGTGACCCATATATGGAATGTATGGGGCAGCAGTCAAGTGTGGAACTGTATAATGTGTATATCCCGCCTGTTAATAGCTGCCAACCGCGTTACTTGCTTAATATTTTACCTTCTTTCTCTATTTACCTTCTTCAAAAAATGTAAATCGCAAAATTTTTCGATTTGAAACCGTTTTTGGTTTTGCAAGTGAAATTGTATTTTTGTGGCAACTGTGACATTAAAACACTCTCAAATGATTTTAAGTAATAAAAATGTTGTCTTAATGACAAATTGTAATAGTTTCTCAATTAACGAAGGCAATTGTTAACGAAGTGTTGCCACGTCACTTTTTTCGCCACAACAAAAATTATTCATCTGTGAAAACCAAACAATGTGGTATTACGAATAATAAACTGAAGCATAAAGAAAAAAGAAACTCAAAAAAAAAAATAATAAATAATTTTGTACAAAAATTTTGCCACGTTACTTTTTTCTTGAAAATAACTTTTTTTGTCAAACAAAAATTATTCATCTGTGAAAACTAAACAATATGGTATTAAGAATAATAAACTGAAGCATAAAGAAAAAAGAAACTAAAAAAATAATTTTGTACAAAAATTGTGGAATGCTGTTTAATTAGTCAATAATTAATATTTTAGGGGCGGGCACAGGAAAAACACATGGTCAGACTGGACAGTATACATTAAAAAGATTATATATATTGTTGTCATATTTACACTGAAATCGTAATTCACCAAATCGTACAAAATCTTAAGAAGCTAACACAAAAATGAACGACTTTGAATTACGAAATTCTAACTATTTCGATACGTGACATTCCTGGTAAACCCTATTTTGGAAGGCAATAACCTTCTGAGTTGTGGCATTCCATCCTAGGTAATGACCAGAGGAGATCAGCGTTGGCAGAACAGATTGACTGCTCCACATTTTACAGAAGAGTGTCATAGTTCGCCAGATTTAACCATTGTGTCACCCTGTCTGATAAATGACGTGACTTGGAAACCCGTCATTTCTCTTGGATACCCGAGATAAGACCAAACTTCCCAGCAGAGGCAGCGGGATTAGCAAACGAGCGTGATGATCTCCGTCGTACCAACCCTACTGATCCTAGAATCAGTGATTTGACAGAGGAAGTCAACCGGTTGGTACAGGAGCATAAGAGGCAAAAGTGGCTAGACCATCTGAAGTGCTGTAACATTGGAACTGATATGAGTAAGCTGTGGGTATCGGTTAAGTCGCTCTCGAACCCTGGAAAAAAGGATGATAGTACCTCAGTCACTTTTAACGACGTAACGGTGACTGATCCGAAGAGGTGCGCGGAATATTTTAACCGAAAATTTGTCGAGCACCCCGAGAGCGATAGGGCGAGGAGAAGAGTACTACGTCGTTTCAGATCTCTTTTTCCGCCTAGGAGGAACCACCACAGTTTACGATGGGTGATGTTACAAATGTTATCCGTAACGCTAAGTCATCCAAAGCGTTGGGCCCGGACGGAATCTCAATGGTAATGTTGAAGCAGCTGGATACGCCGGGAGTCGAGTACTTAACGAAAGTTCTCAATTTGTCGCTAGCCACCCACATAGTGCCCGAAACCTGGAAAATGGGCCGGGTGGTCCCGCTACTGAAGCCAGGCAAGGATGCCAGTAAAGGCGAATCGTACAGGCCGATTTCGCTTTTGTCGCCAGTAGCTAAGACTCTTGAGGCTTTACTCCTCCCCAGCATTAGAGGGAGCTATCCAGTTGCCAACCATCAGCACGGATTCCGTCCACAACATAGTAACACAACAGCATTACACGCCATTTCCACAGATATTAGTAGAGGATTGAACCAGAACAAGCCGTGTGACAGAACACTGTTGGTAGCCCTTGACCTATGAAAGGCATTTGATATGCTCGATCATGCCATACTGTTTGAGGACGTGCAGATAACCACCCTCCGGCCAAGTTTGAAACGTTAGATAATCAACTATATGTGTGGACGCCAGGCGTACGTGGAATTCCGGAACAAGAAGTCCAAAGCCCGTAGAGTGAAACAGGGAGTTCACCAAGGTGGGGTGATATCTCCGGAACTGTTTAACCTCTACCTTTCCGGCATTCCTCGCCCTCCAGAGGGCATAGAGATCGTGACGTATGCGGATGATTGTACGACCATGGTGTTGAACAATGCCTGTCAAATTTGGATGAAAATGTATTTCAACGACAATTTGCAAAAAAATCCAATATACCACTAAACACAAGCTATTGTAGGCGGCTGAGGTTGGTAATTTATTTTTTAGTGAAACAAGTATGGCTGGTTTCATGTATTTAAATTTGATGAGAGGCAATTTTGAGCGATCCGTTAGAAAATTGGGCATTTCCGAAAGCTGGAGTGGCTTTTACACGATGTTGCAAAACACCTGCATTCATGGTTTATTTATTTTTCATACGTAAATACCATCGACATATTGTCATACGTAAATATTTCAGCTATGAAAATAAATTTTGTTTGTAACAACCATGGTAGAATTAAGAAGGTAGGGTCATGGAATCATATGTTTGCAATTATTCAAAATTATTCATTTGACAACATCTCATTGTCAAAATATATGTTTCTAAATCCATTGTACATACAGAGATGCGGAAGGGGGTGATAAGGTAAATTACAGAAAATGCAGAGATGGATATGCTTATTTGAAATGACATTACCTTTTGAACTTTACCATGGTAATAACGTTACCTAAAATTCGACGTAGCGTATATAAATATTCAACTTCCCCATCCTGGAAAAATATTTTGTACGTCTATTAGTAAATTAGTATGTTTTTCAACTATAATCATCTTATTTTGCATTACGAATTAGCTAAACCTAATATGACGCAGTCTACCTACTTGACTTCGAAAATATGAAATTGAAAAATATATATAAAATATGTACCTAATAAAACTTTAACATTCCTAATTGTAGTTTCTGAGGAATAATAAAACAGATAATTGTCGTTTTCAGAAGCTCGCTACTCCGGCACCTTTTAATATTTTGAGTTAATTTTTTGGTTTGCTAACGTTCAATATGTTTACTATCGAATCTCATATTGAAATTAAAAATTGGTGATGGGGTTTTGGCCAGGAAAATGTATTTCTGAAACATTGTGCGTCGCGTCGTTGAAACACACACACACACTCAAATTAAATATATGTACATAAGTACTAACCTCGTTGATGAGATGGTTTGCTGTGGTAAGCATAATCGCTTCGCTCTCTGAACACCCTGGTTCATTTCCCAAAATTACAGTCGCAGAAGCGTTTTCCGTGAATATTAAGCAATAACATATACTATTTCACACGCTGCACTTGCTTATTAGTCTGCATAAAAATTATATCCAGTAATCTAACTCCACATACCACATGCAACAATTGATAATTGTATATTATTTATTCTTAACTCGATAGTCTGTTCACATTTTCTTATCTTAGTCAATGCGGGTTTCATTGAGACGTTTAAATGCGGACTCTTCAAATTGCAGGTTCTTCGTTTGGGCACGCAACATTATGAGTTGTTCCATATTTCACTGGAATGCTATGGCAAGGTGCCTATGATGATCCATACATCAGGTAAATCCAAGGGAATGCCATGAGGTGAGCCAATGTGTGAAGTGTCACTGTAAACAAAGTAAAAGAAATGGTAACAAATGAAAATCGAAAAAAGTAGACTATTTGTTTTGCCGTATAACACAACCAACCATCGGTCTCCAAATCCAATTCCGCTGCAAAGGTGTCACTGCGTCCATAACGATTGACGGCACCACTATTGGCCTAAATGTAGATATCATCCACCTCCACTTTTTCTGTCAGTTCGGTAAATTTACCAATTTGCCCGTACCTGATAGTACGTCCAGCTGTGAGACAAGACCAGCATTTTCTTGTGTTTCGTTAAATTCACAACTATAGCAGCAGCTTCTCGGACAGCATTTTGTCACCTTCGCCATGTATGCCCAAACCTTTAATATGGCTATGATCAGAAATGCGTTGGGTGCGAACGCTACTTTTAATTTCTTCGATTTTCATGAGTTGACAGTTGACATTTTTGACCCGAAAATCTGGGTTCAAGACCCGGCCTGGACACGGCCCCTATTACCCGATATAGACAATATAGGTATTTTATGAAAATACCTACCCAACCAGTGGTCACGATTCGGAAATTATAGTCAAATTATCGATTTTTTGGACCCGGATTTTTTATAAAACCCCCAAAAAGTCCAAAAAGGGCCCATTATGGGGGTCAACAAAATTGATGCCAAATTATAGCTGGCACTCTTACCTTTCCAAAATGCTACAATTTGTGTTAATACCTTTTTCGGGTCCAGAGATATGGGTCTTTCCATCCGCATAACCCGATTCTAACCAGTTTATTAAAATTATGTTTTCAGTAAAAAAGATTCATTTCGCGTAGCCGTCGTTGGAATTACAAAAGCACCACATTTAGAAAACTTTGGTTGGCGTTAGCCTGTGTTGGACATAATCAGAGGAGAAAATCCAATCAGCTGAGCTGGAAGGGGGACCTTATACTTGAATCATGGCTACAATGTTGTCAACTTGATGGTTTTGTAAAAATATAGTACGGTTGCAATTTCTAGTTGCTGATGCTGCGTGTGGTAATGTATGGTAATAACGAAGAATATGAGTAACATTTTAACAAATTGTAAATATATAATATTTGATAGTGACATTCCATTCTTTATGATGAAAGGAGGACATATTATTTAATAAATTGCGCTGTTCATTTATTGTTGCAAAAACCTAATTTTTATTCGAAAATAATGAATGTACACTACATATGATTTCCAAAATTTTTATATTAAAAATTACGTTAACAGCGTTACCCAAAAGTCAACATCCTGTGTCGACGTTATTCACCGCACAATTTAATCATATGTATTTATATAATTTTTACCGAAATACATCTAGCGTACGTAATTTCAAAGCAGAAGATTTTCAACATTGACAATTGAACAAATTCCTTTTATGTGTGTTGAAAATGGAAATTAATAATAAAAAAATAAATGAATAAATGTCTGTAAGGTGGTTTATTTTTAAATATATATCTGATTTTTTCCAACGTTATTAGATTGTAGATGTACCTGGATCATTTGGGTATTATATACCAAGTCGAAGTATTGTACACCAAGTCGAATTTTAGGTAAAGCTGTTAATTAGAAAAATGTAACAGTTCCCTTACCAGTTAGTTGCGAAAATAGCAGAAGAGCAAACTTAAAAAAAATTATTTTATGGTCTTACAGAGAAAAAGTTAAAAGGAGATGGGAACAGAAAAATAGAAACTCTAAAAAACCAACATTTTGTCACCAATAACGCAACAGGACAACCAATAAAAATAAAATGAACAAAAGATTCCATGCAGATTTTTGTTGAACTTCAATAAAAACATTTGAGCTGACTTAAAAATATAAGAACAATACAATGGAGACCACATGACATATAAGTCCGGCCACCGTGGAATTACCAGATGGGTTTGTCCTTTCAAAATAAGTTGTCTAGGAGCATTTTCGATACACTTTCCGAAAATGGACATCATCAAGGTGCATCCTTAACCATTTTCCCACAATGGGCCCAGACCAATTTCTCCTACAGTGACGATATGAAATATAAGTCTGACCACCGTGGGATTTCCAGATGGGTTTGGTCTTTCAAAATAAGAAGTCTAGGAGCATTCTCGATGCTCTTTCCGAAAATGTACACCATAAAGTTACATCCTTAACCTTTTTTCCACAGTGGGTCCAAACCAATTTATTCTAAGAGCACCACATGAAATATAAGTCTGGCCATTGTGGGATTTGGTCTAGGAGCATTTACGATGGTCCTTCCGAAAGTGGACACCATAAAGGTGCATCCTTAACCATTTTCCATTAGTTTGTTTCAGTTTTAAAGTATTTATGTGCGCAGTGTTTTGAATGCCAAATTTGATATTGGAACAAAGTTTTTGCAATTGTAAATGGAAATTGCAATAAAATGGAAATAAAATTTTTATCATTATACAATTTTCATTACTGTAAATTTTATTTTTTCCATAACAAGCAGTTTTGAGTTATATTTTTTTTTTTTTTTCCGAACGTTCCCACGCCTCACATTCCCACCCCTGCCGACCGAGGGGGCGACCTCCCTTTACGGAGGGATCGCGTACACATCATGATCCGCATCATAATGGGAATTCAGTAGGAAATTTAAAACCAGCTACAGAATTTAATTCATCAGCTAGTTTGTCAAATAATAAAACATGTATGTTAATTGTTTAAAAAAATAGAATTATTCTAGATTTAATAACTTCTAAACTCATACCAAAATCTACATTACAGTACACAGAATTAAAGTCAACACACATTTTACTAAGAGGTTCGCCCATTGAATAATTCGTGCGGTGAAAATCAGTATATAATAATTGGTAGTATCTACTAGATCTAAACGGAACATTAATTCTAATAGATGAAATCAGAAAATCTGAGGGTATATTACCATTTAATATTTTTAGTACAAACATGGAGTTCAACATAATACGTCTGCTTTTAAGTGTAGGCAATCTAATTAATTTTAGCCTGCTAGAATAAGAAGGCAAAACAAAATCACTATTCCAATGTAAACCTCGTAAGGCAAATAGCAGAAATTGTTTTTGCACGGATTCTATTTTATCTGAGTATGTTGCATATTGAGGATCCCATACAACAGAACCGTATTCCAATATAGGTCTAACAAGAGACGTAAATAACTGTTTTGTTATATATGGATCAGAAAATTCTTTGGCCCACCGTTTAACAAAACCTAAAACACCATTTGCTTTATTTACCATTGTTATTACATGGCTATTAAAATTTAATTTTTGATTCATTAAGAGGCTAAGATCAACAAATGAATCTACAGTTGATAATGAATGACCGTCAATATTATATTTTAATATCAGAGAAGAAGATCTGGAGAAGCACATATGCTTACATTTGCTTAAATTTAACTCCATACAATTTAACGTGCACCATTTAAAAAGGCTATCTAAATCGTTTTGAAGTAAACTCGCTCGTTTATCACAATTATGGGAAATGAATAATTTAACATCATCTGCGTACATTAACAATTTCGAGTAATTTATGGAATTAGGTAAATCGTTGATAAATAAAAGAAAGAGGACCGGTCCAAGGTGACTTCCTTGCGGAACACCCGATGGAACGTTAATCGTTTTGGATAGATACCCTTCAAACAAAACTAGTTGTGATCTATTTTGTAAGTAAGATGATATCCATTTGACTAAGTTTGTGTTGAAACCCATATAATTTAATTTATATATTAGGAGTTCATGGTTAACCCTATCAAAAGCTTTACTAAAATCGGTATAAATTGTATCAGTTTGTTTACGCTGAACAAATCCTTTTATTTCTGTTGACGTAAATTCTATAAGATTTGTTGTAGTTGAAAGACCACTACGAAAACCATGCTGATATGGACTCAATATAGATTGAATTTTCTGTGAAATTACTGCAGTAATTAATTTTTCAAACAATTTTGGTATGGCACTTAATTTTGCAATTCCTCTATAATTTGACACATTAGTAAGACTACCAGACTTATGTAAAGGTATAATATAAGATTTTTTCCAAAAAGTAGGAAAGTGACCAAATTTAAGTGAATAATTAAACAATATAGTTAACGGAAGTGCTAATGTTTCTGAACAATATTTAAGAATTATATTAGGTATGCCATCCGGTCCTGGACATTTAATCGATTTTAAACTACGCAGACTATTGGATACATCATGACGTTGTAGAAAAGGCATACAAATTTGATCAGCCTGTGATAACTTATAAGGATACGAGTCTTTAATTTGGCAAGATGTACTGGAATAGGTTGTGGCAAAAAAATCTGCGAAACATTCAGCAATATCTGTGCCTGTGACAAATTCTTTATTGTTATATTTCAATACTGAGGGCTTTGAGGAAACTTTTCGTTTTAGATTAACAAAATCATAAAAAGATTTAGGATTGGATTTAACATTATTTTTAATCTTGTCTAGGTAAAGATTATACAATCTACGAGACTCTAAAGTATATTTAGATCTAGCAACAGAGTAATTAGTGTAGTCTATTGTTAAGCCTGATTTTTTATATTTACGAAAAAGCTTATTTTTAGAATTTTTTAAACTTGATAACTCAGGGGTTATCCATGGATGTTTATTTGAATTTTTAACTCTAGTGGTTGGAACACATTCCAGTTTAAATCTATTTAAAATATCATAAAATTTATCAATTACATATTCTAAATCTGTATGGCTGTTATGAGGGTATTAAGTTTTCGAAAATTAGTTTTTTTGTAATTAAGGACTGTTTTAAATGAGTCGGACTGACTTTCTTCAATTACATAACTGTGAGTCATGGAGATATATAAAGAGCCTTGTTGCAAATATCATTTTTATGGCGGGGGCCATGGATAATGATCTTTGGACAGGTTGAGTTTTGCCAGTAGCAGTCTCGGGACGATCACTAGTGATAAGTGAAGGAAATGATAATTCCTGTATGTCACGAGTAGATTGTGAGGTTTTCTTAGAAACCTCACTATCAATATTCATAACATCAGGATTAATTACCCCTTTACCTATACCGCTGTTATCTACCGGAACTGGGTGTGTAATAACACTGGCATACGACTGTTCACGTCCAGTCTCAGTTGTATCAGTGATATTAACTGAGACCGGTTGTGGAACAGTGTTCTCAACAGAAACTATTGCTTTGCGACTAGGCATTCCCTTAGTTGGTGCCTTTTTCGCAGCCCTTTTGCGTTTCTGTCCAGAAACTGACGGTGACGACACAAACTCATCTAACTCTTGGTATTTCTCAAACAATGTAGAGAAATTCTCAAATCGGAGTGATAATGAGGAAAAATCTTTTTTCATCGATGTTAATTCCGACTGCAACTCCTTTACAAAATTATAAAAGTCTGCAGAGAGTTTCCTGCATTGCACACAACACCAACGAACACCAACATTATTTCTAATTGTGTCTACTACTTTTGCATTAATCCTAGCACATTTTGCATGCCATTGATTAAGACAAAACCAACAGGTAACACACAATTCATCCTCTGCAACAATATTACACAATTCAAAAGGGCACGACATTTTCTTTATTTTAATTATATATATTTCTTTTTTAATACACAAGTTCCAAATATTTATTTAAGATTAGATCTGTAGCTGGAATTTTTGTTATTTATATTTATTCTTTTTTATTATTTTTTTTTTTAATGTTGGCAACTCTTTTGAGATGACAAACAAAACAAGACGATAATGTTACAACAACTAATTAGCTAATGTAACAAAAGAAAGAGGATAAAAGGAAAATGTAAAACTACACAATTTTAAAATTGATATAACTTTAAAACACAAAACAAGATTTTAAAACACTACACCAATTATCACTTTGAGTTACAAATCACTATTGAACACTTTTAAACACTTTTTTACCAGATTAATTAATTTAATAACGCAATAACTATTAATTTTTTTCAAAAGCACGGAGCACCACAATTTTTTGAACTAATCACAACAGGGTTGCCAACACATGATAAATTTACTCTCACTGAAATGTAGTTAAATTTATCTCTGAGAGAAAACCTGTGTTAAACGAAACGAAAGATCAAAGCAGTGAAATATAATTTTAAATTTATTTTCACGCACATTATTTTACCTACATTATTCACCAAATTTTCTCCGATATATATATATATATATATATATATATATATATATATATATATATATATATATGTATATATATATATATATATCGGAGAAAATATATATATATATATATATATATATATATATATATGTATATATATATATATATATATCGGAGAAAATATATATATATATATATATATATATATATATATATATATATATATATATATATATATATATATATATATATATATATCGGAGAATATATATATATATATATATATATATATATATGTATATATATATATATATATATATATATATATGTATATATATATATATATATATATATATATATATATATATATATATATATATATATATATATATATATATATATATATATATATATGTATATATATATATATATATATATATATATATGATAGGTCTGTTCTGGACGGAGTGGTACAATAGGAACGCTTATCATCCCCCTTTAAGAGCAATTCTTCCTCAGTACACCCACTCCATGCATCCGGACCAAGACAAAACGGAGAAAATTTGGTGAATAATGTACATAGGTAAAATCATGTGCGTGAAAATAAATTTAAAATTATATTTCACTGCTTTAACTCAAAACTACTTGTTATGGAAAAAATAAAATTTACAGTAATGAAAATTGTATAATGATAAAAATTTTATTTCCATTTTATTAAAAATTTACAATTGCAAAAACTTTGTTCCAATATCAAATTTGGCATTCAAAACACTACGCACATAAATACCTTAAAACTGAAACAAACTACTGGAAAATGGTTAAGGATGCACCTTTATGGTGTCCACTTTCGGAAGGACCATCGTAAATGCTCCTAGACCACTTATTTTGAAAAACCAAACCCGTCTGGAAATCCCACGGTGGTCAGACTTATATTTCATATCGTCACTGTAGGAGAAATTGGTCTGGGCCCATTGTAGGAAAATGGTTAAGGATGCACCTTGATGATGTCCATTTTCGGAAAGAGTATCGAAAATGCTCCTAGACAACTTATTTTGAAAGGCCAAACCCATCTGGTAATTCCACGGTGGCCGGATTTATATTTCATGTGGTCTCCATTGTATTGTTCTTATATTTTTAAGTCAGCTCAAATTTTTTTTATTGAAGTTCAACAAAAACTGCATGGAATCTTTTGTTCATTTTATTTTTATTGGTTGTCCTGTTGCGTTATTGGTGACAAAATGTTGGTTTTATAGAGTTTCTATTTTTCTGTTCCCATCTCCTTTTAACTTTTTCTCTGTAAGACCAAAAACAATTTTTTTTTTTTAAGTTTGCTCTTCTGCTATTTTTGCAACTAACTAGTAAGGGAACTGTTACATTTTTTTAATTAACAGCTTTACCTAAAATTCGACTTGGTGTACAATACTTCGACTTGGTATATAATACCCAAATGATCCAGGTACATCTACATTTAATAACGTTGGAAAAAATCAGATATATATTTAAAAATAAACCACCTTACAGACATTTATTTATTTATTTTTTTATTATTAATTTCCATTTTCAACACACATAAAAGAAATTTGTTCAATTGTCAATGTTGAAAATCTTCTGCTTTGAAATTACGTACATACATTAAATTGTACATATGATTAAATTGTGCGGTGAATAACGTCGACACAGGATGTTGACTTTTGGGTAACGCTGTTAACGTAATTTTTAATATAAAAATTTTGGAAATCATATGTAGTGTACATTCATTATTTTCGAATAAAAATTAGGTTTTTGCAACAATAAATGAACAGCGCAATTTATTAAATAATTTGTCCTCCTTTCATCATAAAGAATGGAATGTCACTATCAAATATTATATATTTACAATTTGTTAAAATGTTACTCATATTCTTTGTTATTACCATACGTTTCCACACGCACCATCAGCAACTAGAAATTGCAACCCTACTATATTTTTACAAAACCATCAAGTTGACAACATTGTAGCCATGACCCAAGTATAAGGTCCCCCTTCCAGCTCAGCTGATTGGATTTTCTCCTCTGATTATGTCCAACACAGGCTAACGCGAACCAAAGTTTTCTAAATGTGGTGCTTTTGTAATTCCAACGACGGCTACGCGAAATAAACCTTTTTTTTACTGAAAACATAATTTTAATAAACTGGTTAGAATCGGGTTATGCGGATGGAAAGACCCATATCTCTGAACCCGAAAAAGGTATTAACACAAATTGTAGCATTTTGGAAAGGTAAGAGTGCCAGCTATAATTTGGCATCAATTTTGTTTTATAAAAAATCCGGGTCCAAAAAATCGACAATTTGACTATAATTTCCGAATCGTGACTACTTGTTGGATAGGTATTTTCATAAGATACCTATATTGTCTATATCGGGTAATAGGGGCCGTGTCCAGGCCGTGTCTTGAACCCGGATTTTCGGGTCAAAAATGTCAACTGTCAACTCATGAAAATCGAAGAAATTAAAAGTAGCGTTCGCACCCAACGCATTTCTGATCATAGCCATATTAAAGGTTTGGGCATACATGGCGAAGGTGACAAAATGCTGTCCGAGAAGCTGCTGCTATAGTTGTGAATTTAACGAAACACAAGAAAATGCTGGTCTTGTCTCACAGCTAGACGTACCATCAGGTACGGGCAAATTGGTAAATTTACCGAACTGACAGAAAAAGTGGAGGTGGAAGATATCTACATTTAGGCCAATAGTGGTGCCGTCAATCGTTATGGACGAAGTGACACCTTTGCAACGGAATTGGGTTTGGAGACCGATGGTTGGTTGTGTTATACGGCAAAACAAATAATCTACTTTTTTCGATTTTCATTTGTTACCATTTCTTTTTCTTTGTTTACAGTGACACTTCACCATTGGCTCACCTCATGGCATTCCCTTGGATTTACCTGATGTATGGATCATCATAGGCACCTTGCCATAGCATTCCAGTGAAATATGGAACAACTCATAATGTTGCGTGCCCAAACGAAGAACCTGCAATTTGAAGAGTCCGCCTTTAAACGTCTCAATGAAACCCGCACTGAATAAGATAAGAAAATGTGGTGAGCAGATTATCGAGTTAAAAATAAATAATATACAATTATCAATTGTTGCATGTGGTATGGTGGAGTTAGATTACTGGATATAATTTTTACGCAGACTAATAAGCAAGTGCAGCGTGTGAAATAGTATGTGTTATTGCTTAATATTTACGGAAGACGCTTCTGCGACAGTAATTTTGGGAAATGAACCAGGGTGTTCAGAGAGCGAAGCGATTATGCTTACCACAGCAAACCATCTCATCAACGAGGTTAGGACTTATGTACATATATTTAATTTGAGTGTGTGTGTTTCAACGACGCGACGCACAATGTTTCAGAAATACATTTTCCTGGCCAAAACCCCATCACCAGTTTTTAATTTCAATATGAGATTCGATAGTAAACATATTGAACGTTAGCAAACCAAAAAATTAACTCAAAATATTAAAGGTGCCGGAGTAGCGAGCTTCTGAAAACGACAATTATCTGTTTTATTATTCCTCAGAAACTACAATTAGGATTTTAAAGTTTTATTAGGTACATATTTTATATATATTTTTCAATTTCATATTTTCGAAGTCAAGTAGGTAGACTGCGTCTTATTAGGTTTAGCTAATTCGTAATGCAAAATAAGATGATTATAGTTGAAAAACATTCTAATTTTTCGTTGTCTACATATATATACAAGTCTATTCCAAAACTAACTACCCAATTCAGCAGTTTATGTATGTTGTCTTGTAGATTGAATGTTGTTGCATGTCATTTTTGCAAATCATGATGAATCAATTTAAAACAAGTCGTACTCTCTTTATTTTGTTATTTCTTAAAGGTTACGGTCTCTCATCCCTCAGCATCAGCACTCATCAAAAGATCTTTCAGTGTGGAAGCATGATACAATTTTTTTGGAATGAAACTTTGAGTATTCTTTTTGTTTTTGTTTTAGCTGCAATTCGCATGTATATTTGAGGTACGCAAAACAAAATGTGGGTCGTTAAATTGCGTATTATATAGATTTACTTATACTTGAATTTGCTATTAGGTTAAGCTAATATGTAGTACAAAATAAGATGATTATAGTTGATATTTACATTTCAAAAGAATAAATCAGTAATGAAATCTGCCTAAGCCTTTGTTTTCTCATAACACCTCTTTGCGGGCCCAGATCAAAATTATTTCGAGTATAAAAAATTAATAGGCACGTATAAATAAAAAAATAATTTGGTGTAGCAAAAATCATAAAGCAGCAATGTACCTACAACTACAACGAGCTTTCAGGCCAGATGAAATACGTAATTAATATCCATCAGGTTATGATTTGTGTGATGAATAATGTGAAGTTAAGAATGTGGATATTAAGTATCTTGTCTTGTTAGTGCATTTTACAAGATTGAGTCAAAGGCAGTAGGTAATGATGGCTTCAACCTTAAATTTCTTACAATTGTTTGCTGAATGTGGAATAATGAGGACAGCGTTTGTGTGCTCTGGAAAGTTGCTAAGATACTAGATTTGGAAAAGGCATTTAAAGGGATAAATCATACCAATTTAATAAGAAAATGACATCGTTTCCTCAAATTTCTCGTCTTCAGCTTGTAAGTTAATGTTTTCTTACTTGTTCGGGAGAAATTAGCATGCCAATAGAAAAAATGTCCTTTCCTGTTGGCTTCCAGTAATTATGTTAATGATTTTCTGAGTTGTATTAAGTCCAGATTTAGACTATGCGAGTTTTCTTGCTTCAATTTTTATCTTTCTACTTTTTCCTGTTTTATAGGTAACGTTTTTACAGCGTTACCTAATATTCGATTCAGTCGACGTTTTTCACCACAAAATTGAAACACATGCATTTATATTAGAGCTACCCAAATACGCCGGGTGTATAAAATTTCAAAGTTGATCATCCGAACAAAATCCGAACAACTAACACTTGAATGAAAACCGTAATATGGGGGGACTATACGAAGACGTGGACCTGCATACGAAATTTTAGACATAGGCTGTAGTGCCCATTACGAATTTCAATTACGAAAATTGTTACAATTACGGTGAATAATGTCGCAAAAATTATGAAAATACGGAGGTACCGTCATATGGAGGCTATACGAAGATGTGGACCTTTTTTGCCATAAGTGGTAATACCCATTAAGATTTTTCAATACGAAATTTGAAACGATTCAACATTTTAGCCTTCTATCTCAATTCGATCGAAAGTTAGCGTGATTACAACAAACAGACAGACGGCGTATTTGGGTAATACGGACGTACAAAATATTTTTCCAGGATGGGGAAGTTGAATATTTATATACGCTACGTCGAATTTTAGGTAACGTTATTACCATGGTAAAGTTAAAAAGGTAATGTCATTTCAAATAAGCATATCCATCTCTGCATTTTCTGTAATTTACCTTATCACCCCCTTCAGCATCTCTGTATGTACAATGGATTTAGAAACATATATTTTGACAATGAGATGTTGTCAAATGAATAATTTTGAATAATTGCAAACATATGATTGCATGACCCTACCTTCTTAATTCTACCATGGTTGTTACAAACAAAATTTATTTTCATAGCTGAAATATTTACGTATGACAATATGTCGATGGTATTTGCGTATGAAAAATAATCGTGTAAAAGCCACTCCAGCTTTCGGAAATGCCCAATTTTCTAACGGATCGCTTAACTATATATATATATATATATATATATATATATATATATATATATATATATATATATATATATATATATATATATATATATATATATATATTTGACGAAGTCTAACATCATAAGTTTTACATTTTTTTGAATTTAAGTGAATGAAAAAAAAATTAATTGTGCAACAAGAGTCCAGCAGGTATATAAGGAGCGGCTGTAACTTTGATGAGCCAAGAGAAATAACTGGTTGTCACGTCAGTTATCAGACCAAGTGACACTATGGTTAAGTCAGGCGAACTGTGACTCTCACCTCTTATTCGGGTTGGGGCATTCTCGTGGAGCAGTCAATCTGCTCTGCCAGCGCTGATCCCCTCTGGTGATTACCTAGGTCGGAATGCCACAACTCATGGTGGGCATTAAAATCCCCTTGTACCAGCGGTTATTGCCTACCAACAATGGGCTAATATCAGGCAAATAACGCGGTTCACAGCTAATAATCGGCGGGATATACAAAATAAGCACCTCTACCTCGGCAGTATTACACTTGACTGCTACCCCCATACATTCCATGTATCACTAGAGACTACCTCAAGCGATATAGGTCTGTACTGAACAGAATGGTGTAACAGGAACGCTAATCCCCCACCTCCACTTCTTGTGCGATCCTCCCTTAGTACGTTGTAACCATAACAACGTTGTAGGCTGCAATTTTCATTCAGTTTGGTTTCCTGCACCGCTGCGATCTTAATATTCCTCCGACTCATAAATTCCACTATCTCATCTATTTTGCCTCGAAGTACGTTGCAATTGAATTGCAAGAATGATGCACAATCCGGAGTTGGAAAAGCAACATGTGGCGTTAGGTGCTGCGGTGTTTGTTGCTGTTCTGGCGACAGCGGTGGATTGCCATACTCCGACGACGTCTCTGATGAGGAGACGAAGAAGTGGACTCGCTGGGGACTACGTTACTGCAGCAAATCGCAACATAATCCCTTTCGCAATAGTCTCGCAAACGTCTTAGTTCGGAATAGTTCTTAAAGTGCACCCATGACGTTCTGACAAACCGAGCAGAACCAAGGTCCGGTGTTTTCTTCAATCCCGGCACGGACCAATAAAATCCGGAGCAAGCATTCCGGGGTATGCTGCTCCCAATGAAGAAAAAATAAACAAACACAAACATGTACATACTGGGTTGGCAGCCGCTGGCCGAAACTGGGATTTTGTTGTTTCGGATCAATCCGGTATCGTAGAACCCGCTGCCGGAACCCGGTATCGTAGAACCCGGCAGTTCTCTGAAGCGGCGGTTGGTGAATTCTCTGAACTCAGGCCAGTGGGCTTTCCCATTGTTAAGGAAAGTGCGGTGTTCATCGGCGTTATCGGGAGATGGTCTGAGCCACGATAAATGACGGGTTGCCATGTCACGTCATTTATCAGACAGAGTGACACATTGGTAAAATCTGGCGAACTTGGCACTCTTCTCTTATTCGGGAGAGGGCATCCTCGTTTACTGTGCAAATTGTGGAGCAGTCAATCTGCTCTGCTAACGCTGATCTCCTCTGGTCATTACCTAGGATAGAATGTCACAACTTATGGTGGGCATTGAAATCCCCTAGTGCCAGAAGGTTATTGCCTTCCAAAAAAGGGTTTACCAGGCATGTCACAAAATCGTATCGAAATAATTTGTATTTCGTAATTCAAAATCGTTCATTTTTGTGTTAGCTTCTTAAGATTTTGTACGATTTGGTGAATTACGATTTCAGTGTAAATATGACAACAATATATATTCAATATGGTAAGATTTTATTGTAACACAAATTTTTCAACGTATACTGTCCAGTCTAACCATGTGTTTTTCCACCCATTGCAATCTTTGGTGGGTGGTCCCAAGGAATTTAGATTTTCGGTAAGCTGTAACCAACTTGTTTCGGCAACCACTCGATCACCTTTGACATAGCCCCTCGCTAGGTCTTGGTGGCTCTCCCTAAGATCTATGACAATTGTTTCTTGTGCCGAATTCCTGTGCCTGCCCCTAAAATATAAATTATTGATTAATTGATTAAACAGCATTCCACAATACATATTTCACATATTTGAGGATAATTACTTTTTTGTACAAAATTGTTTTTTTTAGTTTCTTTTTTATGCTTCAGTTTATTATTCGTAATACCACATTGGTTGGCTGTCACAGATGAACAATTTTTGTTTGACGAAAAAAGTGACATCGCAACACTTCGTTAACAATTATATATATATATATATATATATATATATATATATATATATATATATATATATATATATATATATATATATATATATATATATATATATATATATATATATATATATATATATATATATATATATATATATATATATATATATATATATATATATATATATATATATATATATATATATATATATATATATATATATATATATATATATATATATATATATATATTGTTAAGGAAAGTGCGGTGTTCATCGGCGTTATCGGGAGATGGTCTGAGCCACGATAAATGACGGGTTGCCATGTCACGTCATTTATCAGACAGAGTGACACATTGGTAAAATCTGGCGAACTTGGCACTCTTCTCTTATTCGGGAGAGGGCATCCTCGTTTACTGTGCAAATTGTGGAGCAGTCAATCTGCTCTGCTAACGCTGATCTCCTCTGGTCATTACCTAGGATGGAATGTCACAACTTATGGTGGGCATTGAAATCCCCTAGTGCCAGAAGGTTATTGCCTTCCAAAAAAGGATTTACCAGGCATGTCACAAAATCGTATCGAAATAGTTTGTATTTCGTAATTCAAAATCGTTCATTTTTGTGTTAGCTTCTTAAGATTTTGTACGATTTGGTGAATTACGATTTCAGTGTAAATATGACAACAATATATATTCAATATGGTAAGATTTTATTGTAACACAAATTTTTCAACGTATACTGTCCAGTCTAACCATGTGTTTTTCCACCCATTGCAATCTTTGGTGGGTGGTCCCAAGGAATTTAGATTTTCGGTAAGCTGTAACCAACTTGTTTCGGCAACCACTCGATCACCTTTGACATAGCCCCTCGCTAGGTCTTGGTGGCTCTCCCTAAGATCTATGACAATTGTTTCTTGTGCCGAATTCCTGTGCCTGCCCCTAAAATATTAATTATTGATTAATTGATTAAACAGCATTCCACAATACATATTTCACATATTTGAGGATAATTACTTTTTTGTACAAAATTATTTTTTTTAGTTTCTTTTTTTATGCTTCAGTTTATTATTCGTAATACCACATTGGTTGGCTGTCACAGATGAACAATTTTTGTTTGACGAAAAAAGTGACATCGCAACACTTCGTTAACAATTATATATATATATATATATATATATATATATATATATATATATATATATATATATATATATATATATATATATATATAAATGACGTGACTTGGCAACCCGTCAT